GGGGCAGCTGCCGTCACAGAAAAGGGGGTCAGAGAAGGTGAAGTAGATGGCAGCGGCCCGAGGAGAGGTCCCTGGGGAAGGCACCGTGGCTCTTCCCCTGGTCACCCGACCCCATCCGAGCGGGTCTCGAAAGGCTGGCCGTTGACAGAGGAGCTGGACCCAGACCTTTCCTCCGCCTCGATCTCCGCCACTGAGTGGAGGGCACCTTCTAGGGGACCCACACGTGCCTGCCCCTTCCGTGACGCTGCTCTGGCCACCCTCTCTTCCCTCTGCGTCTCGCTCTTGATCTGCAGGTCGAAATGAGAAGGGGCAGCTGGGCCACGGTGACACCAAGAGGGTTGAGGCCCCCAAACTCATTGAGGGTCTCAGCCACGAAGTGATTGTGTCTGCGGCATGTGGGCGGAACCACACCCTGGCGTTGACGGGTAAGGAACGGCGGGCTCCTTCTACATTTGGCACGAGGCCACAGGATCCACCTTGGGCACGGGGACAGAGCTGCCTCTGTGGCTCTCGGTCAGGATCAGAAAAGTGCCCAGAGTGCCCCAGGGGTGGGCCTCTTGAAGCCGCTGGCCGCCTCAGCTGCCTGCCTGCCTGCCTGCCGGTGTAGGAAGCCCGTCCGGGAGGCGGAGGCCGGGGCCGTGCCCTGTGTGCCTCTGCACTCTCATCCCCGGCTGTGCAGGGGTTTTGCTCCGAGCTCGTCCGCTCCACCCGCTCAGGACACCGTCTCAGTTGTGCGCTCTTCCTGGCAAAGGAGCTCTTTTTGTTGTTTTGGAGCCCTTGGTTCCAAATCCAGTTCAAAACCTTCAGTGTTCTTTGTCCCTTTTGTGATACTGTTCTCTCCTTCCAGAAACAGGCTCCGTGTTTGCATTTGGAGAGAACAAGATGGGGCAGCTAGGCCTCGGCAACCAGACAGATGCTGTTCCAAGCCCGGCACAGGTACCCGCTCCGGTCTCGCGGCCTTTCTCTTTGCTGTTGTGCAGAAATTTCTGGGGTGGGACCAAATACCTCTCCCTGCAGTGTAACTGATGTCTCGTAGAAACCGAGCCTAGAGTCTTTGAGTGGAATGCACACGTTACAGGCTTTAAAGCAGATTTACTATATGCTCACGGTTGAAACACACACCGAGAACGATTTTTCTCTCTCACGGAGAGAATTTGTTACAGAGGCCTTGTTCTTCAGCCTGTACTATTCCAAAGAAGGTGAGAGATGTTTTAGGGATGGGATTTGTCAGTATCTGCAAAGACTTGTTGAGTTTTGACCTTGTGTGAAGTCCCCTGCCAGGTGCCTAGAACACAGACCGGAGTCCGTCTTTTCTTCCTCAGGAGCGGAGGGTTAAGTTGGGGAGGGAGGAATTGCACCTAAAACGTGACTATGAACATAAAACAGCCAAGTGCTAGTGAGTGTCTGGTTTAATGATGAAGGCAGGGACTCAGATCGCTCGTCTCTTAAAAAGAGACCGTGGGCAAACTTAACCTGTGGTTTGAACGATTTGTGGAACGTCTCCGTTTCATCTGCCACCCGCTCCGAGGAGGAACAGTTTCTAAAGGAAGCCAGGACCAACGGGCAGGGCCCAGGGCTCACGCTTCTTGGCGAGGGCTCTCCCTGACTGATGAGTGCAGTAACACAGTTTCCAAGTACTGTCTTAGATGTGTTTCCCGAGCCCACGCTAAGTTCCTCGGGCCTTGGCTGTCTTCGTATTGGCTGTCTTTGAGCCATTTTATGTCTCCTCCACACGGTGGAGACCAGTCAGGCCATTATCTCTGTAGAGGGTGAGGGAAGTGTGAGAAAGTTCCTCTCAAAAGTTGAGGCTGAGCTGCTAGTGAGTAGGTGAGGTCTGGGGGTCACGTGTGGGTAAGTTTCTGTCGCTTTCACCCTCCTGCCCGTGCTGGCCGGCTGAGGAGTGAGTGCGTTGACTGGGCACAGCGTTGGGCATCTGGAGGGATACAGAGATCGGGGCACCATCAACCCTGTCTTGGGATTCAACTCTGCTGGGAAGGTGGGGGTCACAAGGGTGTTTCTTAACCTGCATCCTAAGCTTTCGCCTTCAGAATTGCTGAGTCCATTAAATTTCCTTTGTAATCTAGTAATTGTTTCACACTGACCTACGAGAGGTGGAGGCTTTTTATCAGTCTTTTAAAAAATGTCTGAGAGTCTCCTGTCTTGTCTTTTCAGATAATGTACAACGGCCAGCCAATTACCAAAATGGCCTGTGGGGCTGAATTCAGTATGATAATGGACTGCAAAGGGAACCTCTATTCCTTTGGGTGCCCTGAATATGGCCAGCTGGGTATGGAAACATTTTTTTAAAAGCTCTGTAATCTAACTGCGTATCTGGAGCCAGAAGTCGGTGTGGGCCTGCACACACATGTTGGAAATGTGGGTAATTGATCGCAGATAATAGCCTTGATCCATTAAGTGGATCTCCCATTTACTGGGACAGCATGTCCTAACTCACAGGGTTGTGGAGCATCACAGTGGCTTGGCCTTAATGAGTAAGTCAGGCTCAGTCTGACAAAGGATTCTTTTTTCTGATAATGGGAATTCATTTATATGTAAAAGGATTTCAGAGTTGTAAAAAAAAAAAAAAAAAAAAAAAAAAAAAAAAAAAAGGCGCCTTCATTCGGTTTCATATTTTAAAGATTTGCCTTTATTGAAAGTGAGAAAATTACACAAGATTAAGTCTGCTCTGCAAACCCTGGTCTGGGCGATTCTTTCAGGTACACGCATGAGCCCCATTCCGTGTAAAGTGCCTGGGATCCCTCCTGTTTTCGTCCCTAAACAGAACGTACTCCTCCAGAAACACATTCACTTCTATCTCATTGAGTAGAAAGGGAGAACTCAGAAAGCGGTTCTCAGTAAGTGGAAAATGTCTCTCGATCCTGATTTTACAAGGTCTCCATTTTCTTTTCCCATCTGACACCAAAGTGTTTTTTTCCTTCTGGCGCCTTCCCACACCCCAGCCCTTTGCGAGTAGGAGGTGAGGAGTGGGCGCCCTCTGCTGGCTCCCTAGCTGCATGCCACCCCGGATCCGCCGCGGCCCCCGGATCTGGGTTGCTGGGTCCCCACGTCATTAAAAGCAGGCAGATGGAAGAAGGTATAAATAGAACAAGGAGCATCTCGCTGGCCTTAGACTTTAGGGAACAGTGACTTTGTGAAACTAAATATACCTCAAGTCAGAAGTGAATAAGAAAGAACAACCCCTTACGCACATTCAGTGTTGGTTGCCAGGGAGTTGCCAGCGGCTGTTGGAGAAACCGTTTCCATGGCCACAGGCCCCGGTGCCATCCCCAACCCTGGGCAAAACACCGGAAGTGTGGTTCCGTTCGGCTTCCGGAAATGTGTCTACTCCCCTGCTGCCTCTGGCTGCCCCAGATCTGCAAGCAAGCAGGTGGATTTTCCTTCAGGGAGAGCCACACGATCTCGGTGACCATGATAATGGCTGATCGCTGAGCAGTTGCTGTGGGCAGGCCGCTCTTGGAGCACTTTGTACGGACTCCCCTTTCCCTGGGACATCCTTCTTCAGAAGTAGTTTGAGATACTGGCTTTACGTGTATCTGTGGAATCCGCTATGCCTCTCAGCTTTCTTTGAAGCCCGCTTTGAATCTCCTTGTCCAAATCCAGAGAGATCCCTTTTAGAATTAGAACATATGAATGTAACCTTGGAGAAGTGCATCCCGGCACATCCGCTCACCCCCACCCACCCCCCCTCATGATGCGTTTACTGGGTCAGGCAAAGCGAAGACGAGAACGTGCCATTAACTACGTTGTAACATCGTAGTGCTAGATCTAGGTTACTAGTAAGTCATAGAACCTCAAGTCTC